CGCGGGGTGGGCGCTAATTAGGGTAGCTTGCGCGGTGCCTGCCGAGCTATATTTAACACGGGCAGATAGCCGTGACAGCCATTCACGAATTATAAATAAGTTAGCGCTAGCATGGGGTCAGCCTGTACGAGGCTCTTCGGGGAGGATCTTCTGGAGGGAATCTGCTCCTGCAAACAGCGTGTGACGCATCGCCTGCCAGCTGCGAGGAAGGCTGTGGGAGGCCCGTGCCTTTCCTCGGGGGGCTGGGTGGTGTTCTGGGCGTCATAACAGGAGACACGAGTCGCTGCGTCCCACCACTGGTCAGAAGAGCAGTTCAAGTGTGGTTGCCAGCCAGTGTAGGAGCCCAATCACATATCAGGTGGTGTTGTGAGGAACAGGGGCTGCTAAATAGGAAGTATCTTCTGAGTATATTTGGTGGAAGACCAGTCGGCCCTGGCCATCGTCATAAAAGCTCTGACCTTTTTCTTAGCTGAATCTAAAGAGCTCACTGTGAGCTACTAGAGAAACAGTTAGGGTATTATGTGGTTTCACAGATGTACTTTATGCAGATCTGTGGGTTTTAAGCTTAAAAGTTCGGTAGAAGCACATCTGTCAAAACATATTATAATGCTTCAGGATACGTTCATTTTCATATGTGAACAAAGAAGAGTTTATTGAACCTGTTCCCCTCTCCAGCAGAGCACAACAAAAAGCTAGTGTCATGCTGATGAAAGAGGGTACAGGTATAATCACTACTTTCAGACCACTGGGATATGTTTCATTCCAGTTTTCTTCTCTGTCTTCTAGTTAAAAGTGTATGACAGTCTTACCTTCCATGCTTTGTTTGCTTTTAGTGGTCAGACAGAATGGCTCCAGTGAACCAGCCAAAGGACAAGAAGCACGAGAGGGCACATGAGCATTGGCCGGAAGAGGCAAAATCAGCTGGGAAGAGGAAACCGGACTACGAGGAACTAGGGAATGAGCCACAAGCAAAGAGGTTGTTTGTGAGAAAAACATCCAAGCCCCCAGAGAAAATCGGTAACATTTCCTCAGATCCTTACTGTTTCTCCCAACCAGATTTACCCTAAATGACAGGCATCGACTAGTTGAAGAGGGAGAATGCCAAGAAGCGTGTTCAGACACGAGTGTTCAGATGGGGTTATATATTGAAGTGATACACAGACATGCATTGGGGTACTACATCCTCCAGTTATCTGTCTAGTGAGTGTGTGTGCACGAACATGTATGCGTGTTTCATTTTTGAGGCTCTGTACCCCTTTGTAGAAGCCTGCTCACTGGAGGTGCTGTCACAGCTCATTTGAGGTGGTTAAGTTTTGTGGAATTCCTGAATTACCAGATGTCTGCTTTATTGTAAGACAGACTGATCTTGGTAATACATTGTTTTTTCTCCTATGCAATACTTAATGCAGTTTCATAGTCGTAAGGTTGGTATCCTACAGCATGCAGTCTAAACTGGTATTTCCCGATTCTTTGCATATTCTATATTTTGCTGCAGTAAGTAGGAATACTTTTTACCTCTATGTTCAGATTAGACTGGACAGAATTTCCACTAATCACTTCTCATGTGCATTTTTTTCCTTTAGTATGTAACTTAAAAAAAAAAAATCTCTTCAAGATTTTTGATATAATGAGGAGAGGTTTCCTAAGTTCTAAGATACTGGGAAGGATAATGGTTTGCATTATCAAGAAAGTTGTGTAGGCTTCAGCTACAGTAAGGACTGTTTTCGTAGAATCATAGAATAATTTAGGTTGGAAAAGACCCTTAAGATCATCGAGTCCAACCATTAACCTAACATTACCAAGTCCACTGCTAAACCATGTCCCTAACACCACTTCTACACGTCTTTTGAATACCTCCAGGGATGGTGACTCAACCACTTCCCTGGGCAGCCTGTTCCAAGCTTGACAACCCTTTTGGTGAAGAAATTTTTCCTAATATCCAATCTAAACCTCCCCTGGCGCAACTTGAGGCCATTTCCTCTTGTCCTATTGCTTGTTACCTGGAAAGAGACTGACCCTCACCTTGCTATAGCCTCCTTTCAGGTAGTTGTAGAGAGCGATAAGGTCTCACCTGAGCCTCCTTTTCTCAGATAAAACCTTTAATTCCATTGTTTGTTTAGGAGAGCACTAGTTACTGCCTTGTGTGGAAATATTACACGCTTTCTGTACAATTTTGGCTTTAAGAATCCAGAAATTACTGAAGTGTTTTTCAACACAATTACTGAAGTGTTTTTCAACACTTCAGTCACAGTTTTCCATACAGGAGTTCTACGATTTTGTGCATTTCCATTGTCTGGTGTATAACTCCAAACTTGGAGCAGCTGCCAGTGTGAACAGCGGACGTGGAGGCAAAATACTCTGTTTGAAAGGAGTTCTGTGTATAATTGTGGACAGTTAAAGCATCTTCTGTAGTTAATTTAGCTACATGATTTTCACTGTAACTTCAATTTTCAGATTTGGTGGGCATCTGCAGTTCCTGTAAGATTCAGAGGGAATTGGCTGTAGCTAGTACTTTGGACAAATGAAGCCAATCATAATTTTCCCTTTACCCTTTTTTAAAAAGATGAAGACCTTTGTATTTGAGCTTTTCCATTCTGTGTTCCAGTTTTGATTTTTATATGTTTTGAAAAAATATTTTTTTTCTCCTGAGCCATATAGGACAGGTTCAGTTTCTTGCAACTGAAACACCTTTTTAAAGGGTTTCTTCCAGCATATTCTAAAAAGGCCTAAAGTTTGTTTCTTAATAAATCATCCTTTGTAACAAAACGGATTTTGGAAAAAATGCCTCCATTTCCATTACCTCTGAAGAAGGAACTGTGGATGCTAATTCTTCTGTGAAAAAAAGGAATTAGAATATAAATACTTTTTTACATATTTCAACAGGTGTGACAAGTATTGACACTATGTTGGCATGTGAAAAAAGAAGTTTAGTTTCATACCCATGCATTTCTAGGCTCCAGCATTGCATTAAAGAAAGATTTGGTTTAGGTTCTAATCATATAGAATGATCCCGATGGTTTTGGTCTTCTTTTTTTTTTATAATAATCCTAAATGAAAATAGCATTTTTGTTTCTTAAGAAATGCTGCTTTCCCATCTGATGTCTAGGTCCCCTGGAGTGTTACAGACCATTGCTGTGGGGATGATTAGATCACGGACACGGGACTGAACAGATCCGGTTTTTATGTAAAGGTCCCTGAAGATAAAAACTTGGAACATGAACAAAATGTAGAAGCATGCTGTACTCTCAGCAAAAATCACCCCGAACAGAAAGGTTTTCAGGCGATGAGGCGTCAGCAAGTCTATTATCAAAAACAAAACTCGCAGTGCTGTAGGCAGACTGAACAGGCTACAGCACAAGCAGATCGAAAATTCTGATTCACAGGCAGGCATTTCAGGAACTGTGTGGGAACTCACGTTGCTATGCTTGGGGAATTTTCAGGTGTTAACGTTTCTGCTGGTCACACGTCTGACCTTCCCTTTGCTGTACCCAGGGGCTTACCGCCTCCCATGGCATATTTCCAAGTTGCTGAGGCTTTGGATGGCTTCATTGTATTTTGGGTATGAACCATTCAGGTTGTGTACTGTCCAAGAGATGCACCACCTGTGGCTTTGCTTTAGTCCTCTCCTGTTGTCTTTTTGATAAATCTTTGGCAAGGAGAAGGAAAGTTTAACAAGAGGAAGCATACACAAAGCTCTGGCAGGCTATGGGAAGCACTGGACTCCATAATTGCAGAGGCTGCTGTACCTTAGAGATGTAAGAATCATTTAGAGACTTTTCTCTTGTGGCTGAAGCTTTTAATGGGTTTAGCAGCAAATGCAGATGTCTTCCCGTGTTTTTTATTGAATGAGCATGACAGGTGTTGTCTCTCAGTAAGTTTTACTCTTTTCCTCTCTGGCAGGTTGGAGTGGAGGTGGGTCCATGGTGAGAAACAACAAAGTCCTTTTCCATCAGCTGGAGCGGCAGTGCAGCATTGTTCATTATGTCTACCAGAACATGCTGGGAGGCTCCATTCGGGCACAGCTCAGGCAGGTGAGGAGTTTCTCCTTCATGACCTGTTGGACATCTCAGCTCCCTACATAAAAACATCTTGAACACACACAGGGAAACTTTAAAGGGGCTTAAAAGTTCCTCACATACACAGTTTGTGGCTCCAAGTCTGGCGCACCCTTATGTTTCTTAATCCTGTAAAATGCAAGAGCTGAGATGGCTTTCCCTTTCGGTTGACCTGGCCCTGTCACTCTACATTTTATCTCTCTGTTAATTCTGTGCTTCCTTGAATCACATTTAAACTTACCCACTCTATAATTTGAGTTATTGCACAGTGCTACTTTTGCACAGTGATCTGACTGTTTTGTCGTACTATTTTTGTATCCACTCTACTTTGCTAATCATGTCAGGTTTAGTGTTGTTTTTTCCTCTTCACAGACATATTCCATCAATTCCATAATGTTTTACTGTTTTCAGAGCCATACTCCTTATTCCATTTGAAAATTAACTTCTGTAACATCCTTGGGTGGGAAGCACCTGGGCTAGCTTTATCTTCCATATGATTTATCTGTTTTAAGTATCCAAATGCTAAAGAAATCGCCAAGCTCATCCAAGCAGTACCTATTCCTCAGCTGAATAACAATACAATCATGTCATGGTTTCTCATTCACTATTTCAAGTGTTTTGTTCACTCTTATGCTGTATAGTTGAGCTGCAGGCAATTTGGATGGAGGACCGTAATATTGTATCTCTGGATGATGTGTAACATTTTGGGATGCTCAGTAAAGACATAGATAGTCATAAGTGCCTTTTACTGGTGTGGAGGCATGTTCGCCTTCCTTGTTAATGTTAATTATCCTGCCTTTTTAGCTCAGCCCACGAGGCTTAACTCCCTGTACATCATTTAACGTATGGTATCTCTCAGTTCTCTGTTGCTTTCTGAGTGCTGTGGCGGATGTGGATTTGTGTGGTCACAGGCTGTTGCCCTTGGGGACAGCATGTTCTCTTTATTCTACAGAGAGGCTTAGAATTTTGTATGAATGTACTAACACTGATGGCAATTAGAAATTGTTAGCACTCCTCATTCAGAGAATCTCGTGGATCCCTGCAGAAGTCATAATTCTCTTTATCTTTTTAACAGTGTCTGCAACTGCCCTTTCTGCGTTCTCTCGCCTCATACCGCCTCTTTCGAACAGCAAGTCCCTTTGACAGGAGAGTGACATGCCTGGAGTGGCATCCAACACACCCCAGTACTGTAGCTGTTGGTTCCAAAGGTGGAGACATCATCCTTTGGGACTATGAAGTACTTACTAAAACCTGCTTCATAAAAGGGGTAAGCCTCTGGGTGTGTGGAATGGGTGGGAGGGAAAATTGGAGTACCACCAAATACCGCAGATCAAAACTGAGGTCTGTTGTGAGAAGCACATAAGGGTCTCAGGTTGCAGAGTAGCGAGCTATGGGGCAGGACTGAGATGCAACAGCATGTCTGTTCCTAAGTCCCTGACTGTTATAGCACTGGGGAGAACTGAGGCGTGTTGATTAAATTCATAGTGAAGCAGTACTTGGTGTGTGCTCAGTGGGAAAATAATTCAGCAACTAGCAAAACAGTTATCTTAAAGGGATGCCAGAAACAAGTAAGCAGAGAGGGTTTGTCTGTTTTAGGTCTTGATCTTTCTCTGCTCACCTTTTATTCTGTGTTAGATGAGGAAACATCTTTGAGTGGGGAGAAACTAAAGTCCCTTTATCTAAAGTGAGAAACTAAAGTAGAATGAATGGTTTATATAGCTGGCATGCCCCCTCGTTGCTGTATTCAGCCATTCCCATTCCGACAGGGGCTCAAAGACTCTGTAACTTTTGTCCCCTTTCTAAATTAACGTAGATATACACTGGGAGGAGGTCTATCCTCCAGAAATACCAGGGTCATCTTTTTCTTTTTGTAAATAGCGTGGTGCCAGCCAGCCAGGGAATACATTGCCTGGGGACTGAAGGAGTTGCAGTTTTGTCCTCCAGGAGGGCAGCTGTCTAGACAGCCATCATGTGGGAAGACATGGTTGTCTTTGCCTCCTTGAAGGGCTGTGGTGTGTTTCACTGTTGCTGTTAAGGACATAGCAGTGAATGCAAGTTACAGAACACACTTTTCTCCTTCCCCATCACTCAGTGGATTTTTCTTTTGTTCATCCCCTTCCTTGTAGATGGGAGCTGGAGGGGCCATCACAGGAATGAAGTTTAACCCTTTTAACCCTAGTCAGCTGTACACTTCGTCAGTTGCCGGCACTACCACCCTGCAGGATTTTAATGGCAATACTGTCCGGGTCTTCACCAGCACCGAGGACTGGGAGTAAGAAATACAGCAATGCTTTGGGCCTCTGTGTCCTGCTGGCAGGACTGCTACAGAGAGAGAGAGAGAGAGAGATGTTTGTCTCTAATATGTGGGAGCTGGGCTTCCTCTTCTCCACTTACATGTCCTTTATCCTCTAAATTTCAGGGATCCTCTCTCTTCCAGGGAGGCTCACTCTCCCTTCTTATTTTTCCCTGAAACGGGGTGGTGGGTAGGAGACAGCTTTTCTTCGTGAAGGGGAGGGACTCTTTGATGCTGCTTACTTCCTGTTATACACGGGAGAGCATGGGGGTGCCAGTGGATTTCCTCAGCTGTCTGTTCTTAAACCTCCCATAGCTCTGTGCCCTGGGGACCTTCTAATCTCTTCACCTGTTAGCAGTGCTGCTTGTTGTCAGATGGGTTTTACAGGACAATTTATAGTCCCCTCAGTGCTTCTCCACAAACGCCGCTGACTTCAAGTGGTGCGTGTCATAAGGATCACCCCAATTCACCCCACCTAACTTTTGATGCTGATCTAAAATACCAAAATCAAGAGTCTGGGCTCCTTCAGTAATGAGTGAAAAGAGGACATGAATTGCTAGAGGCTACTCTGTCTGCCTGTGCTTAGAATCACCCTCTTAGACTGTTGCTTTTTCTGTGGACTCATGAGGAAGTCTGAGCTCTTCAATTAGTTACTTCAGTTCAGTACTTACAGGTAAGTGAGGGAATTTGTGTTAGCCTCCTCTTTACTTTTCCCCACCTGATTCTTTCCGGGTGGCAACTTTCATGGTTGGTTTCCAAATTGGCTGTTCCAGTTGCAACCTTGTAATAGGGCAGAAGGTGAACCCAAGTAGTGCTGGGATGACTGGCCAGGTGAGCAAGGAGGGATAGACTGGGTCCTGGGACATGAGGATCTCCTATCCCAGTGGGATGCCTGTCACAGCAATGATGCCTGGATTTGAAAGGGCATGCCATCCTCCTTCTACTGCTGTGAGGACAGGCAAGCTCTATGGGCAGGCCTTTTTTTATCTTCATTGGCTTCTTGAAATCTAGTATTTACAGTGAGACTTTATTAAGTAGTTGCTCTGTGAGCAGCAAATGGAGTGCACTTGAGTATTGAAGAGTTTGGGGACTTCTAGCATCCTTCTTTTCTCTCTTTGGGTAGGGTTTCCATACTTCCTCAGTAGATAGACTGGGGGAAACAACATAACAAAACAACATAACAACAGTATAACATAACATAGAACATAAGATTTCTGTATCATGCATGGGGTTAGCAATAGGATTTCTCCTTGCACCGCTCTCATCCTGCCTGCTGGTACCTTGAGAAAGACCAGATACAGTACTGGAAGCAGCCTGTAGGGAACTGGTGAATGAAGTCTCTGTAAGAAAAGCTTGGTGCAGGGCTGTCATGAGATTTTATGTGGTTTCTGCATGGAATGGTGCTAGTTTTGCTTGTGATCTCCTAAGCCTGGTCTGAGCCAGGTGGTTCACTGCAGATTAGTCCTACCCCATAGCAGAAGAAGCAATGCTGCTAATGAGGTTTGCAGCCCAAAGTGGTGGGGTTGAACTTACAGGCTCAGAATTGTGCTCAGATTGGAAACAGATTGGAAAAAAAGAGTTGTTACGTATGTGCCCTGTCAGAAAGCAGTGCATTGTACCTAGGGAAACCGGCAGTGTGTTCCAGATGAGCACTGTATTAAGATTTTTATCTTCTGCTCTAACCTTGATGCCTCTTGGCTTTGTGTGTATTCCAGAAAGGGCCAGGAGATTCTCTCGGAGACATCAAGTTCAGTCCTTATGAGGCAGTGAAGCTTTATGTGGCATCAGGGGATGGCACCCTAAGTCTGCAGGACCTTGAGGGCAGAGCGGTGCAGGTGATCTCCCGTGCCCCGGACTGTGGCCATGAGTACCATAATGTTTGGTGAGAAGGGAGCAGCGCAAGGTTGATTCTGTGTTCCTTGGGGTTAATGCTGCTCTGTTTTTTGTGCTCTCTAACATCTTCATCTTTGCCAGTGTTCGGAGACTCTTGGTATGAATTGGTCTCGTGAGGGAGCTTGGAGACAGGCTCCTGCTCGTGACCCTAGCACTGCAGGGTGGGTGACAAGCTAGGCAGCCACAGGGCACTTACGCTTTTACAGTAGCTGAGTGTGCTGCCTGCATCTTCTGGTGTTGCTTTCTGGTGACGCCATCTCCTGTCTTGCAGATACTGACAGCTTTTCACTTCATAAAGTGTGAGGTGAGAAGAGCAGGGTAACTTCCGACTCTTCATTGTCATCAGTGTTCTCTGTGTTTTGTCTGTAGCAGCTCAGGTAGCATAGGAAAGCCGCAAAACATTCCTGCACAATCTGAGTTTCAGGTTATTGAGTTTACCCTGCTGCCTTTCTGGAGGCTTCAGGCTCACCATGCTAATTTCCATGACCTTGAATTCTAGAATAATTTATCTTTGCAAGTGAAGCTTTCCCAACAAGTTCCCAAAGGACCCCGGCTTTATTCTTGCTGCCCTTCCCCTCCCAGCAGAGCTGGAGTTAAGACATATGTCTTTATCAGATAAGTCTCTATTCAGTTTTGTTTCCTGGAGCATGAAGTTGAGATAGTTTGATGTGCAACTTTCCAGTCCAAAGCTTTTGTCTTTTCTTTACTGCTGCTTCCGTGATTTGTGGAAAATGTCATTTTAAAGCTGTTTCTGTAGATTTGTCAATGTCACAAGGGTGTTCTGATCTTTCCCAAGGTGTGTCCATGTACAGGCACCAAGTGGCTTTTCAGCCTCTATTATGTTCCACTGTCCCAACGTGTCACACTCCATCTAAAGAGCACTTCACAAATGACTAGGAAGTTATTTCATATTCAGTCACCACGGGGAGCATTGTTGATAAGCCGCCCCCCTTCCTGATACTCAGGCCCACACCATCAGGCAGGAGATTGCAGTTACAGTCTGTTGCAGTCTCCCTTGTCAGGGACGAGATGTGAACCAGAGCTCCACTGCCTTCACTTGCCTGTGGGAGGCAGCACTGATTTTGTGTCTTTCCCTCTAGTTGCTGGTACTGCAGTGTTGATGTTTCTGCAAGCTGCCGTGCCGTGGTGACAGGTGATAATGTGGGCAACGTGGTCCTGCTCAGCACTTCTGGTGAAGAGGTTTGTATGGCTCCATGCAGTGTCTCCTCTACGGGAAGCTTCATGGCTTATGTGCTTTCCTACGCTACAGGGACCCTGAAAAGAGGAGCAAGTACCTTGCAGCTCAGGAGATGAGTCCACCCATTGTCTAGGTGGTGAGAGGTCCTCCACCTCTGCCATTCATTAGACATTTTGACATTGTTGAGTGTAATGGTAACAATTCCCAAACAGGGACTGTGTCGCGTGCTACCCCTTCCTTAAGAGTATTTGCTACTGGCCAGAGTAATTATAGGGTAACCTGAAGATGTGAGCGCTCTCTGCCAACGACCTTCACAATTCCAGAAACTTAGTGCACTGATGAGAGTCATTTAGGAGATACTGCTTTGACGTATACCCTTCCACGACCTTGGAGCAGGTACACAACAGTAATTCAGCGAATGTTGGGATAGAAATTGCACTACTGCCATTAGACACGAGAGGGCAGGCAGAGGCAGACGGCACCTTCGAGTCTGAAGTAGTACAGAAACATATTAAAGAGAATAGTTGGAGTGGGCCCTGCTTTAAAAGCCTGCTGTACCGTCACACCGGAATTACCATTTCTCCTGCCTGTAAGGGTAGCATCTGTAAGAGTTTTCCACCCAGTGAGCTGTGGCCAGAGGCAGCTGTGTAAATTAGCGGGCAGAGTCAGGAGTGCTCCAAATGATTTATGCTTATTCAAGGTTAGTTGCTTCCTTTCCTTTTTTTCTCCTGAAAGAATGTGACAGTCTTTTCTGCACTTGGGAGATAGCCATTATTGTAGGGAGGAGGGGCCAGCTTCACCCTTTTGATTAGAAATAATCTTCCGGCTTTGGATACAAATTTGCTCATGGCGAGTTTATATGCATTTGTTCTTGCTAATTGAAATATTTCTCCTACCTTCATGTTTCTTTGCTGATGTATTCTAGAAGCCAATTGCATCTCCCTTCTCCTTTTTTACTAAGATAAACAGAGCAAGCTCTTTTGGTCTTCTCCCACAAAGCAGGCCCTTCCTTATTATTATCTCGGCAGCGCATTTTCTGTACCTGTTCCAGTTTGTTTTAATCTTTCTGCAGGTGGAAGACTGGCACTGCATAAAGCATTGCAGATGTGATCTTGCTTTGTATAGTGGCACTAATACTTCCCTCCATGAACCAGGGACTGTGTTTTCCTTTCTCATAGCTGTAATAAATTGGTGGATCAGAGTTCTCCTAGAATTAAATAGTTCCCAAGGTCATTCTTCTCCTTTCTTGTTTCCAGTGGATAAACTCTTGGTGTATTTTAGAACTTTTGTTGCTGCGTAAATGTGTGACCTCTTTACTCTGCACTAGTAGATTATTATTCCATTTCTTTACTCCAGACCTTGATTATTCTTTTCTGTGTGATTTTCTGTTTCCTCTGCTGCAGATTTGGAAGCTGAAGTTGCACAGGAAGAAAGTGACTCATGTGGAGTTTAACTCCCGATGTGAGTGGTTGTTGGCCACAGCGTCTGTGGATCAGACAGTCAAAATCTGGGACCTCAGAAACATCAAAAACAAAATGAATTTTCTTCATCTGCTTCCTCATGACAAACCTGTCAATGCAGGTGAGTTGAGATAAGGATTTCATTGCATAGATGTGTGCAGAGAGTCCACTCAGCTCAGCTTTTATTGTTGTGCCAATGTTAGCTTTCGCTCAGATTCGAAGTTGCACAGTAGCTAGTGTTAAAGTAAGGAAGGCATTGGGAACATGTGGCCAGAGGCAGGGAGGTGGATAGGGCAGCTGCAGCACAGCCGTAGGCTTGCCATACAAACTGTGGCACTGTGCCTTGAGAGGTGAGTGTGGAAGCATCAGAAAGCTGAATTTTTGGGGGCAGTTCCTTTGACAAAAGCAGAGCATGGGACTCAAACCTCTGTTTCTTGGGTGCAGTTTTACCAGTTCATGGAAGTCCAAACTGCAGGTGTCTGTCCCCAGCTTTTCCACTAACTTTCCATTTGAACGAGCAAGTTGCTTTCTTTGCAATGTCTCTTTCTGTGATTCTAAAATGAGAATAATGATTCTTCCTATGTAACCCAGTGCTGTAGGTTTCAGCTTATTGATTGCAAGAGCCTTGAGTTTGTTTGAGACAGGTAAAGTCTCGTCTGTTGGGGCACATGGCCATATTCACATCCCTATTAAAGAAATAGCAATGGGTTTCCAATCGGAGAAATGTGACTTTTAGTTTCTTGTCAGTCACAGCACTGTGATCTCGTTTGCCTTATTGTCCCCCTCTCCTAGCTTACTTCAGCCCAACAGATGGTGCCAAGCTCCTGAGCACAGACCAGCGCAGTGAAATCAGGGTTTACTCGTCTTCAGACTGGACCAAGCCACAGCATCTGATCCCACATCCACATCGGCAGTTTCAGCACCTCACACCTATTAAGGTGAGTTAAGCCAGTGCAGTCTGAGAGGAATATCACGCTTGGCACTAGCAGCCAGCTGTACATCAGAAATGGTCTGATTTCTGGTCGGGATACTGCATTGGTGGGTGGAGGTTCGCACTGCTGCACCTCCCAGCAGAGCACTGTTCTGAGGATACCCATGTTCCTCAGGCTGTGGGTGGGATGCACAAACCGTTGCTCACACTGCCGGTTGTCTGGTGTGTGTCAGTATGAGCTCTGTCCCTTTCTTTTAACTCCCCATCACTCTGCTCTGTGACTAGGCAACATGGCATCCTCGCTATGACCTCATTGTAGCAGGTCGCTACCCAGACCCAAAGTTCCCAGGGTACACGGTGAATGAGCTACGAACTGTTGATGTATTCGATGGAAACACTGGGGAGATGGTTTGTCAACTCCATGATCCAAATGCTTCTGGTATCATCTCGGTGAGTTGAGCACTGCAGCTAAAAGGACCGCTGTGTGTTGAATGGCAGCCAACGAGATATGAGTTAGGGACTAGAACAATAGGAGTATCCTCTCTACTTGTGACAGACTCGTGCTCTTGTGGGAGTATGGCTGCTGGCTAAAGCTGCTGACTCAAGCAGGGCTGGTCCACGGTCATCTGTGGGTTTTCTGTGATACTCTTTAGGGAACACTGGGTTTTCCAGATGGTTTGTTGCTGTAATATAAGCTGTGGTGCTCTTATGACTCTGTTATATAAGCAGTGATGCTCTTACAGGCTCTGATTGTGTTTCCATTTTCAGCTCAATAAATTTAATCCTATGGGAGACACGCTGGCTTCTGGCATGGGTAAGTAAAGAGAACCTGGGGCACTAAGCACGGGTGGTTCCAGTCCCAGAAAAGGGCAGGCTTGTTTCTCCAGACTAAAGCAAGTTGTGAGTGAGGATTTCCCAAATCCCACTTGCTAGTAGTATAATAGTAGTATAGTAGTATAATTTCCTACATCTGTAAAAGAGATCAAGACCTTCTATTCAGTCTTCCACCTTTGCAGTTGGAAAATGGGTTGCTAGTCATCTCCCGTGTAACATTCCTGAGAGCATGAAGTCCGGAGGAGTGAGAGGCCTCCCCGCAGCAGGGAGCTGCTGCCATCTGTGGGCCACGTAACAGTAGCAGAAAACGATGGGGCCGGGGGGGGGGAAGCCTTTTCCTACTAGGCTGTACCCTCTCCCTTTGTTTAATTTATCTCATTTCCTAGGCTGTAGAGCCAAGATTACTCAGTTTTTCGCAGGCTGTATGGGATTAAGGGAGCTAGCTAGAGATTTAGGTCTTAGACCTGTGACAGATGAGATTAGGAATTACTTAAGTCTTTTAATTAGATCAAATTTCCATGGCTGTGTGGAGGTAGCGTCTGCAATAAATATCTGCATCCTCTGTACCTTGGAAATATCTTAGAACAGACAAAGCGTTTTGAATTTCTGGCATTGAAGTGACATAGCCTAAGGTATTATATTTGATGTAGAGTTTCTGATGCAGTGTTTAATTTTTCCTCTCAGGCTTTAATATTCTGATCTGGAGCCGGGAGGAGATGGTGGCCAAGAAGCAAGAACATCTTTTGAAAGCCATGACAGAACAGGGGATTGGAAGCTGGAGTTTATCCAGACGTGGAGGGCAGAGGCAGGCAAACCCCGGGACAAGCAAACTCAAAGCTAAGTTACTGTCTTGGGAGCTGGAAGAGACGAGAACAAAAAACGACGATTCTAAATCACAGGGAAGGAAGCGAAAAGGGAAGGATCTAGAGAACTGATTTAGTATTTTGATCCTTTCTGGATCACAGGGTACAAATTAATTGTTGGCAATGGGCAGTATAAGCCATGCAGGGCATTAGACTTCTACTTTGTCCTTCCTCCCTGGATCTGATCTTGCTTCACTGATTCCTTTTGCTTCCCCTTCTAGAAAGTTGTGTCAGTACTCAGTTCCTCCTCCAAGTGGAGTTACCACCCATTTTCCGAGGCACTAGGAAAACTTCAAAGATGTTCTCAGATCCTGCTCTGAAGTTACTGCTTCCAGCCTGCTGCATCTGCTTGTCATCACTTCTCAGAGGTTACCATTTCCTGTAGTCTGCTGTGGAGCTACTCACAGCAGGGTCCTCAGCCTGTTCTTTCTAGTCAAACTGAGCCGAGAAACCCTTTGCTAACAAGGTTAGCGTCCTGAAAAGGTAGAATGTTCACAGGGGTGAGGCGATGGATAGCTTGGGTAGCCTAGGGAACACCAACCTCTTCCATATGCAAGCTTCTTGGAAAATGTGCATCTGTCAAGACCTCAGGCTTAGTCTGTTCTGTGCTTGCAGCTATTTAACTAGACCACGAAGAATATGATGATGCCAGAGCTCTTTACCTGCCTCATGGGATGCAAGGGCAGTATGGAGCTGGGAACCTACTGATTCTGTAGTTTCTGTTTTCAGAGCTCTAGGCTTTTTCTTGCCACCGATTAGGTAATTTTTTTCACCCATGCCTATGTGCTTCAGAGTGTTGGATAGAAGTGTTGTAAAGCAGAAATGAGGAATTTCTTCCAAACACCCCTGCTCAGAGCCAAATCTCAAGACTGCTGTTAAACTGAAAAGTTTTGCTTTTTCTAGTTTGTTTACAAGGTTGCCTGGGGCCTTGCTGCTGTCCCAGAGGTTGATGGATGGGACAGGCTCCAGGCCTGCTCAGATTCTTTATGTTCACTTTTATAGTTTCGCAGTATTGATACTAATAAAGTTTTGTACTAAACTGAAATTCTGCTGCACTGCTTTTGTAGGGGGGAAGAAGTTACTGACCTTTCTGCAGGAGGGCTAAGAGACCTAGAACAGTGGTGGAAATACCAGTCATAGTACTGCATCTACAATGGACCCTTGCAAGTTGGACAGGTTGCATTATAAGCTGTATCTATGCATGGTCGCTGTAGTCAAAAATAGTTTATTTCAATTCTCACTCTGCTGTAAGTGGGATTGTAAATCGGGGATTTACTGTGGGAGGGGGTATACTGCAGTAAGCTCTGCCTGTTTTCCAGCACTGAGCACGCTGGCGCTAGCCCTGTGAACTCTTAGAGAAGAAGAGGAGTAGAGTTCAGTGTGAATTTGATTTTAATAATGAAAAGGAAATGTATTGGAACAATTACAGAAAGTCATTCACAGTCAAAATGTCTAAATCATCATAGAAACCTTTCCTCTGTGTGTGCAAAATTTGCTGCCTTTAAAAATAACAGGTCTGGTCCTCTTAAATGCACTATTGCCTCTTTCTTGTGCCTGTTCTCACAGGCAGTAGCTTTTTCTTTATGACTGTCTTGCTGTGCAGGAGACCTAGATTATATCTTCAGAGGACAAAAAGGTGAGGAAGATGCTGAGAACAGCAAGCTGCTTCTGCTGATTTAGAGTTCCCATACTGGCAGATGCCGATTATGGGGTAGGGAAAAGTCCCCACGGTACTCCATAGGGGAAGAAAAGTAAATATCTGTAACCTAATAACTGGCTTCTGCCGCCAAGAGGGGAAGGGAACTGCACCAGAAAGGGAAGTAAAAGTGGGAAGTGAATGTGCAGCATCACCATGTGAAGAGCCTGTGCTTCTGGTGCCTGCTGCAGTCTCTCATTTTCTGCCAAAAGCTACAACGCAGGTGGTGAGCACTTGGCATGATGTTCCCTGCGGCAGCTGCAGTGCGCACAGAGAGGCCAGCCTGGAGGAAGAGTCACACTTCGGACAAAATGCCAAAGCGTGGCAAATAAAGGGATCCAGAGTCATCTGCAAACTCCAATCCTTAACAGGGTTTTTTTGTTTGTTTGTTGTCCATCCAGTAGGGAAGATAGGAACAAAAACTACAGAACTTGGCATTTAATCTAGTCTCAGGTAAACAGCTCTGCTACATCTCTTTAATTACAGCATAAAAACATTCTGCTAGTAAAGCATATTCCTTGGGCTTGTAGCTGAAACCTGGACTGCCTGTAGTACTGGATATTCCCTGTAATAGGTACTTGAAGTTCAGAGGTGGGGAAGTCAAATTGAAAGCCTGAATCTTCAGACAGGGCTCAAGTTTCTTATCTACGGGGACTCTCCTTTCTAGAGCCAACCTTGCATAAGGAATTGGGTGCAGGTTTGCTATGGCCACAGGAATTCATCTCTCTGATGAAGCTCTTGGAGCTTCTTTGGATCATAGGTAATCTACTCTGAGCTGAATGCTAGAAACTACTGCCGGGTTTTCAATCCAGTCCTGATTCCAGGCCAGTTCTCTCTTGAACCAAAATGTAAGGAGGGAAAAAAAGGCTAGTTGCCAGCAGCAACTAGTTGCTTAGCAGCAGCCTCAAGAAACACTTTTCACTGTCTGCCATCATCTGCAGCAGTTCCCTCTGCATGGACAGTAGATGAGTCTCGTGCATTGTTGGTGAGCTAGGCCCACTGCTCCAAGCCCAGCCTTCCCACCATCATCAGCCCAATGGCTCGAGAGAAAAGCACTCAAAGCAGGTTGACCCTGAAGAGAGATGCAACTCCTGACTGCACTGGATGTGGCAGCTGCTGGAGGCCCAAGCCCCTCTGCCACAGTCGTGGTGAGTGGTAACATTTACAATCACTGAAAGGAGGAAAACTCTTGACCAGCTCCAACTGGCCATGTTGGGAATCCCAGATTAGGTAAGCTGTATGAGGACTGGGGGCACCACACAGTATACTGGCTTCAGAATTAAGGTGTAATTTCCATTAGAGTAGCTCAGTCCTCTCTCTCTGGGACGTCACCTTTAGAAAGCATCCAAAAATCAAGTCCAGTTTCATTCTGGGAGGCAATGGCCACAGCAGAAGAATGCTCAGTAACTGAAGGTGCCCAATCATCCTTAGGGGCAACACTGCTCCCTCCTACTGCCTGGGAAGGAGTTGAAGCAACTGTCAGGCCTGCTCTTCTCCCTCATTGGAAACATGCCGGTAGCCGGGGGGCTGAGACTGTATGCGAAAGAGTACAGTCAACAGGAGGATTATAAGGAGAAGGAGAATGGATCCACACACAGCCAGACCCACAAACAGTTCTGCAAGGGAGAAAACAAGCGGTCAACATGGTATCGTCTAAGCTTTCCCCTTCTGCCATGCTCTGGTCCAGCCTGGGCTCACCTGTGTCGTGCATGCTGCTTGCTACCTGACATTCTTGCTCCCAGTCCTGAGGAACAACAGGATCTGTGAGTTCCAAGAATCTCTGCAGCGGGCATTTATGCTGACAGCCAGGGATTGTCAGTGGGAAAGGTTCCTTCCCACTCTCGTTCCGGAAAAACATCTCCACAGAGAAGTTACTGAAAACAAAACACAGCCAGATGCTTTTTTTTTTTCCTCCAGCTAAAGTCATCCCTTCCCAAAAACTCAGTGTGCACACCCTTTCCTTTATTCTGGTGGTAGTTTTCCTCCTAAGAGTCTGCCACTAGGAGCACGATTGCATCCCCCTAGGGTGGAGCCTAGCCTAGGTATCTAACCCTTGAAGGTGAAATCACAGCAGACGTCTTTACTGCAGCCCTCACCCATCATCCTCTTGGTACAGCTCAAATAAATGACATGAGGCGTATGGTGCTTGAATCTTGTTGTAGACATCTAGAGCCATCTGCAGTGCCACAAGTGTGGTGTCATGCTGAGAAAGAGGGAAAAAAACCAAATCAGTCACCCTTATGGATGTGGCAGGGCAGCTCAGACCATACCAATAACGGACAGGGCAGTGCCGAGGGGACGTCACCTTTGTAACTGCCATCTGCAAGAAAGGAGAGGAGCTGTGCTGCTAGAACGGTGATCTGTGACGGTGCCAGAGAAGGGGAGGAAGTGAAACACAGCCATATATATCCTGCATTGTTCTTTAAGAATTAATCTCTAGGGAGCAGTCTGGGAGAGATGCTTGACTTTCCAGTCAGTAGGCTGCTGGAAAGGGGGGATGACTCTGCATCTACACTGCTGAAACATCACGTCTGAGTAGCATCAACCCATCTACCAAACATATACAGCAGTGGCTCCCCAAAGTCTGCCAGACTCATCCACAAGCCTGAGCTAACAGGAACAAAGCGCAGGTTGGGAATGTTCCTCAGGGACCCCAGAGGAATGATGCCAGATCCTGCACATCCCACCCAGCCAGAGGCAAAGATGCATGTCGTGATCACTGCATGGGCTGTAGAGAAGCCAGAAAGGGTTAAAACTATCAGCAAGCCCCAATTCCCTGTGAGGAGGAGGAGATGGATAAAAGCTAGCCCCCAGGCTCTGACTTACCGCTGAATAGGCAAGCAGTTTCAGGTTCTGGTGGGCAGAAACATTTGCTGCTTTGGTTAGGTTTTTCCTTATGTGATCCAGCAGGACCCCTGAGGAAAGGGAACAGCTGGTAAGAGGCAAAAACTAGATAGAGCAGCATGAAGCTCCCTCCCCGGTGCACTCACCACCTTGCAGACGAGCTTTTTCTACCCGATTGTGGATCCCAAACAGAAATTCAAAACCAAAGTCTTTTAGTTGCTTCAATTGAGTCATGACATCTGGTGTCGCCCATACAGGCAAATCCATTTTGTGTGCTTGCTAGAAAGAGAAACAGAATACTCATCTGCAGGTAGCACGGATCGCAGATCAATCAGAGAATGGGAGTCAGGGTGTCTGGAGTCCTGCCCATACTGCTACTGATTTCCTATGTTATTTTAAATATGCCCCTTTTCTATTAATGCTTCTGTTCTCACACTGCTGTGCTGCGTGCAAAAAATATGTATGGGTTTTAACATTGTTTCAGAAACTGATAATGAGAAGCATAAAGATTAAAAGCCCAACTGGGGTGCAGGGTTACGTTGTAACACCGATACAATAATCTTAGGGCATTTACTTTAGGTGTGGCTGATTCTGCCCTGCAGATGGCATGTAGTCAAAAAAAAAAAAAGGTAAGTGAGAGAACGCAAACTCAAGGTTTCTGGTGTAGCTGCAGCACAATTTCGCCGGAGGCTCTGAGGGCCACTGAAGGATATTGGAGAAAGTTAGCAAGCGCTCTGCAGGCGTAATACTGGGATGCACCACTGACAAAGCCCAGTACTCAAACCCAGAATACACAGAACTGGGAACCAGGAGAAGAATTTGCTTTGCAGCCAACCCATTACAAGAAAGGATTAGTTATACTGGCAGGCAAACAGCAGTTGTGGTTCCCTGGCATTACTCGGAGTAATTTTCTACGCCACATCCCATTAAACTGCCAGAAGATGAGGCTGAATATCCTTAAGGGCCCGTTCTGTCTGAGTGGTTTGGAGAAATTCCCGTCAGCAACTTAGATATTTAGTTTTTTCATTAATTTACAAAGAGACTAGCTTGTAAATTCGCTATTTCTTGGACTTTTTTATTTTCTCCATTCAGATGGTAGAAAGAATCTACTGGCCCAGGTGAGAAAAACAATCCTTCTCTTCAGGGCACTGTTAGTAAGAGTGAGAAAAAAGGAGGAAGCCTGAAGCAGCTGAAGAGAATGATCAGCCTGAGGGTATAGTTTTGAGGGTAAAACTCCCTCAAAACGTTCTGGTTTCATTTTGGGACACTGAGCTATTCTCCAAGCTCTTGGGGATTATAGCGGTTGTCAGCTGACCTTCTGGGCCCAATCTGCAAGCTCATTAAGCGAGTCTTGAAAATGAAGGAGATTTGAAATTCTTGATCTCTCTGATCAAAGGATTTTTTATTACCGACAGGAGTTGCTTCGCTGTGATCGTTAAAAGACAGGAGATGGGGTTTGTGATACAAAGGGCAAATTTACATAGCGCAATGCAGCTCTGGACTGGAATATTCTCAGCTTGCAGCAACTTAAGCTGCTACTTTACATAGCAAAGTGCAATTCCATGCAGATTTCTCTTGTACATCCCCAAAATAGTACATGCCGCTGTATACCACTGCCAGCAAGCTAAGTAGCCTTGCACCTCCATAGAATTAGCATGACACAGTGTCAAAATGCTTGGGTTTACTGCTTCTTCCACAATTAGCTAGTCTGACATGAAAGAGCTCTATAATTTACTTCATCATACTGTATAGTTATACACAAACTTGTGTGCAACAACTGTAAGTCTCCTGGATAGATGACCTTTACTTTAGCATTATCACAGCACAGCTAACCCGATTTTTGATTTTGTTTAAGCCTTCATGAGATGTGTTTTCAACAAAACTCCACATGAACACAGAGTTTGGTGCCCCACCCCAGGCAGTAAAAGGGTCGTATCTGTCTCCAGAGTCTTTCTCTGGCAAAGGACCTTATAACAGGTCAAAAACCAGATGTGGGTGAACCCCACTTAACCTAGAGGAGCATTATTTTCTTTTAGAGATGGCATTAACAGAAGCACAGAAAGAAAAGTGATTGATCGAAAGTTACAGAGAGGTAGAACCAGGAATAGTCCTAATTTAAGCTCCCAACTTAAATCATAAAGTTAATGTAACGCTCCTTCAGTTTCCAGAGATCTCATTTCTACCTTACTTAACTCAGACTCGTCCACAGAGATCTACGGAGTTCAGATCACAGTCATTTTCTAGTGACTTTCAAAAGAGATATTTATTATGCAGGTGGGACTTTTTCTGGCTCTGGCACGATATATATCTAAGCTACAAAGTGGGAGGTTATAGGGTGCAAAAGTAGGTAATTCTTGGTACACGCCTCTAGTGAGTAGGAACTCTTATTATTCTGAAATTAGAACGTTACTTCTAACTGTAGGGTGGGAATGGTGAAAAGTTGCTTTATGGGATTTTGCAAAATAATTTTCTACCAAATCCAGTGAGTCCTAAAGACCAAATTCCCGCGGCTGTAAGATAATGGCCAAACTTACTTCACAGAACAGTGTGTCATACACACTCCAAACAGACTCAAGAGAGACATCCCGGATCCCAGTCTCATTTGCCACCATCTGCAGGAATTGCTGTAGGTACGAGAAAAGAGAAGGGCCTTCAATTTTCTGATTTCATACTGTATTACACGCACAGGGATTCCTACCCTTTTCTCAGAGCTCTGATTATATAGAGGTGATAATACTTTAACTACAAGCCTAAGACCACCTTATCTCATGCAAACAATCACTTACCCAATTCTCTTTGGTCTTATTTATGTATTCTGCTGAGTGCCGTGTTTCATTCTGTAGCTGTTCATACCGTGGACAGGGGGTCAAAGGAAACTTCAGTAGCTGGGCAGAGACAACAAGAGCAGCTAGGTCACCGAGAACACTGAAGTACAGAATTTGCAGTCAACACGCGCAACTGTAATGAAACCCTGACTAGCGGGATGCATCTACAAAGAGCCTCAAGTACTGCCTTCTAACATACTCCAGCTTGTGTGTGGTCTGCTGAGGTGTTGCAGCTAACATGTTGAGTGAACACAGCCCCTGAATTCTCGTCTTACGCTGAGAACAGAAGAACCTTTGCAAGGTAGGTCCCGGGAGAAGTTCAAGCCAATCTGAATCGAGACTGAAGCAAAGACTTTTGGAGAAGTCAGCATAACACACTATTTGAGTGGTCAGTACCGATCCTTGAGACTAACTTACCCTTTCCTCGGACTCAGGCACTGTGTGCACAGGGATAGGCTGCCAGGAGATGTTAGGGTTGAACATCTGTTGTCCCTCTGGGGGATACAGGCCTGCCAGGTTGGCCTCCGCACTCATCAGCGTCCGATCATAGTCTGTGCTGCGGGTGAAGATCTGCCAGAACAGGGACAGCGCACCATTAATAATGCTGCTGTAAGTGGCGATGCTTGGACGCAGGACGACGCACTTGCTGAGGAACACTGCCAAGTGCCCTGCAGCTGCTCATGGACAACAGGACAACCGGGGTTGAAGTGACCGAGCCTGCTGATGTCAACCTGGACAAAACTGTAAGGACAGACACAAAGACAATTTGGCGTGTAATACTGGAGCAGCCTGTTCTGGATAAGTGGGATAGCCAGATGCACTGTGCGGAGATTACAGACAGAATGGAGTCCGAGTATGAGGAAGAGTCAGAGAAGAGCAACACAGCGATGCAGATAATGACGGGCACAGATAGGAAACGCACTATATTTACAGAGCAGGACTGGGGCAAACTCCTGCATTCAGTTCTCAGTTCTAGTAATGGTCTGCTGTGCTCATGAAAAAAAACAAAGGCTTCTCCAAGCCTCAGATTTTCTGTCTGAGAAGCGAAGACAAGAGTGATCTGACTAACAGGAGAGGAAGAAAAGGGGGAGCTGGGATTTTTTTTGATCATTGTGGGCTCTTGGGATTAATGGGCCAAGACTTATCATTCCAGAGCTCAGAGAGAGAGATCTGAGCGAGAAAAAAGAGAAACCAGAAAAATACAGAAAAGTTCAGAAGGTCAAAATGGCAAAACTTTGGTATTCTGGTATCTGTGCACTGAAAACACAGGGGGAGATTGGAGAGAAACCAGTGATAAAGCAAGAGGAACACAGAGGAAATAATGAAAGAATGTGCTAGAAAACAGCATACTGAATCTGAAACAACAAGAATAAGAAGCCAGAAAGATGAAATACAATGTCAAGATTGGGATTTATTTTTTTTTAATGTTAGAGAGAAACATAAGAAAAAAATATATACGCTCACTCTGTATAGCATCTCCCACGTGAAGCGTACCTCAAAACTTAAGTCATGAGGGGAAAAAAAAAAAGGTTGTCTTTTCTCTGACAATTTCTACCCACTTTTACTTCTTAACTGTGGCTTGAAAACAACTGACCCTGTACTCATTAGACCGGAATGCTTTCATCCTCAGTAAGCTCTGAAGAAATGGAAAGGAAATATTTTAAAAGATAAGGATCTAATTCTAAAAGTGTCGTAAAAAACAATTAAGCCCTGAGTGTACATGTTTTCTTCAGCACCTTCTGCCAGGGCTCCAGCTTGTCGCTGAGTCAGGTGACAAATGGTCATATGGTGTCACCCAGAGGCAACACTTCTTGTAAGAGGGAGGTTGCTCAACTCGAGCAGGGGTTCAGGCTTGGTTAGCAGAACAGCTTTTGTTTGCATACGCCTTGGTTTGTTTTTCCTTCTCAAGCAAGAGAAGCAAAACAGCTTCAGCTAGCAAAAGCTTTATAAGAGTGAAGTATGTTTGGAAAGGAACTACCGAGGAAGGTTAAAGGACCCGTGTTTGAGCTGATGCTGGAAGTTTTGTTGATGAAGCAAATGCCAAAGGGTTGTAATCTCAGCTATGGCAAGCTGGGTATTTACTGGGGAGCCCAAAAACGGGGGAAACAAAGACAGAAAGTTGTACGGGGATTCTCAGTTTGCCCCATCTGGTCAATCACCCAAAGTGAGCTCAGATAAAATAACTGAGCCGATGGAGAGCCAGTAGTGGGTCAAGGGGGCCTTGACTGCCCACTGTCCATCCGAACCACGTGACAGCATGCCTCTCATCGTGACGCTTGCTCACGTTCCACTTGACTCACACCTCTGTGATCAACCAGCAGGTGTATTTGAGGGGATTTTCTATTTCCTTACTTTTTTTGATCTTTCAAATTTTCCCCTGTGCTTGGCATATGGTTCCACAAGGGCTCAGCGTTTTATAGGAGAAACCTACCAGTTTCTCAAGAACTATTATAAAGTGTGGCAACATCCTGGAGGGAGAGAGGAAAATTAGTAGCTTTGGGGGACTGAAGCTGTCGATACTTCACAGGTGGAAACGAATGAGAGGGCTGCTTCTGGTTCGTAACTACTGCTTACAGGCACAGACTCCCACGAGATTGTACCTGAAGCGCGCTGGGGAGGGCAGGGCAGACAGGGGCTGCGCTCTTGTCAGCTGACGTGACAAAAAACCCCAAACCCTCATAATCTCCAGTGGGAAACAAGTGCTATTGTTGCAATGCTACAACACAGCATTCCCGTCTTGCTCCCTTGGCTCCCGAGCACTCGGCTCGAACACTCTCCCAGCGGTGCTGCTGCAGCGCGGCCCTTGGCTGGATTGCCTCAGCACCCCCAACGAGGGCGGTGCTGAGCCGCTGCCCGGTCCCCCCCCGCTGCGCCCAGG